TTCCAGGGATGGAAATTCATATATTTGGAGGAGCTAAAATTGCTGAAATATAGAATAAAACTGAAGCATGAGAGGTAGTTCTCTACCTGGTTGGATACTTTGTTGTAAACTTTTTTCTTTCTTTTTGTTCCTTTCTTTCTTTTCTTTTTCTTTCTCTTCTTTTTTCCTGTTGTAGACCTTTTTTTCTAGATTTCTCTTCATGTCTTTTTTCTTTTCTTTATTTCTGTTCGAGGGCTTACCTCAAGCCCTTAAGACTACTTTACTTAGGTTATTAATTAATAAAAGTTGCAGTGGGGTGTTTACCCTACTGTTTATAGTCAAAAAAAATCTTTGACAGCTAACATTGACCAGAAGTCTACCGTCGTTGGTCATGGCGGTAGCCCATATATTCTACCGCCGGAGTGTATGGCGGTAGCAAAAGGGTCGGATCTGAAAAACTTGCAAACATGTATCAAAATCATGCTAAACTTTCATCAAATGGTCAAAACAATAATTTTGTCCACACTCAACAACATGTGTTTTCCTGTAGTGATGTTTACCGCTTTGACGCTAAATGTCATGGAGTACTATCCTCATCAAGCATTGTTCTCGCTATGTCAATCAAATTTATGCCTTTCTTTCCACTACACTATTTTGGTTTGTTCTGTAAGTTTTCGGGAACCACTCTTTCTTTGTCAAGGAAGTCTTTGATGTTGTGTACTTGAACTTCCACTATGGTTTCGAATCTGCTTGACCTTGAATTGATTTTGCACCTTCCTGGTGAAATTCTTGAGGTGGCCTTGTGGGTCCACAGGTCACAAACACTGTCAAATTTTGTTTTCACATGTATGAAACGCTGTTGAAATTCATTGCATTTGCCTCAAAATGGCGGTTGGCAACGAAAATCCCAAGCATTTTGCTTTCTTTTAGTCTAAACACACTTCTCTTTATTGATCAATAATAAGGTTCTTTTTAATAAGGTTCATGGGATACATCCCAAGCATTTTGCACTCACTGTCGCTCGCAGTGTAAAAGCCCGCTAACCGTATATGGGCTGAAAAGCCTCCACGCCTCAAAAGGAAAACAGCCGACGAAGCTCGTCACGCGGAGCCACCGCTCCCTCTCGCCGGCGCCGACACATGGGCCAGGCCCTGCGCCGCGCCTCGGGGCGCCTGAGGCCTCCGCCCCCGGCGAGGCCCCCGGCCGCTCATCCTCCCCCGCCTCCACCACGGGCCGCACCGGCGGCCGCTGCTGGCGGTGGCGGAAGTCCTCCCCAAGATCGGCTCGACGTGTCACAGGATGGTACGGCGGCTCGTGCTTTCTTTCTTGGATCTCGCTTAGCATTAGCTTGCTGTGCCATTCGACCTGGCTGTTGGTTCTTGATGCCACCACAACTACCGCTGCCGTGTAGCTTTGTTCCTGGTAAATGATGCCTGGATATCCTTAGGTTCTTGACCTGGCACAAATGCTCCGATTTTCTTGTCATATTGGGCTAGTTCATGATCCTTGGTGCTTTTTTGGGGAATCCTGCTCACAAAGATCATGTGCAGACTGTTGAATTGAAATGCGACATGCTTAAGTAGGTAGTGGGCACTGTTTCATCTAATCAAGTGTGGCATGTGGATTTCTGCAAATCAGGTTTGTGATCCCTTTGGATTTGACGAACTGAAACCAACCATGACCAATTAGCATGGGCTATATATTGGGTTAAGTCAGCCAATTCGTATAGTTTTAGAATTTATCGGCATGATCACACTATGTAAGAAAACTAGGAATGTCCGTTAACTTTGTGTCGGGTGTTTTCTGACACTGAATAGCACAGTTGCCAGCAAGTTATTGTTTCCGCCCGAGTGCAGCAGGGCGTGAACAGTCTATCCAAAATTGTTGTCACAGTTTGTTCATGACATTATTGATCATAGAATTTGGTAAGCTGTTGCATTTGATGGATTTAAGTGTGAAGAACCCAGAGCATCTACAACTGGAACTAACAAAAGTGAGCCCCTAAATGTGCACGGATGCATCCGCGGACAGTGCCCGGTGACACCTCATTTTTCACTCATTGTAGTCACACTCCTCATTTCCAAATCCTCATTTCTATACAACCTCCATGCAACGTCCATTTGATCTACGTACATAAAAACAAACTACAAACTAGCTACTTGTCATCGGATATGTCAATGACCTCCTTGCCGGAGCCGCCGGCCTCATGGTCATTGGCGGCGTGAAGAAACTCCGGTGTCTCCTCTTCGTTGTCCTCATCTGTGAAGAGCTCTCATGCTTCACGTCGGCCGCGTGGATGAAGCGGCGGTTCGCCGCCACCTCCAGCTCGGACTGGATGGACTCTGAGGATGGCCACTGCTCTGTTGCCTCCTCCGCTTGGGCAAGCTCGAACTGCGCTTGTGCGCCCTCCATGCCAAATCCAGCCTGCTCTGACGTGTCTGGACGATGCGCATCTCCACCCAGGTCTCCGCTCGATGCTCCGGGGTCAACATTTTGTAGTAGGCCAGCTTGCGTTGGACCATGGTGGCCGGCGGACGGTGAGGTCGGAGCAGAGAGGGAGAGGGAGGCTGGATCGCGGTAGCGACGTGGACTGGAGGGAGAGGAAGGAAATGGGGATGACTAGGGTTGAGCCTTGCCGTCCGGCTTAAATAGCCAGATTTGGCCCCTTGGGTGGTGCGCTGGAGCAGTGCGATGAATGCGGACCAGTGACCTCCTGGTGGACTGATGGGTTTCCGCGTGGGTCCCACCAGTCAGTCTGACATGGCAGGCGCGTCCGGGCCTCCCCATATCCTCCCCAAATATGGGCTGGGTTTGGGGAGTCCCGAACGTTTTGGCTGGGTATAGGGGTTCTGGTTGGGTGCCAATTTCTTGACCGGGTCGCCCGGGCGTATGGGGGAGGGGGGGTCAAGTTGTAGATGCTCTCACTATCCAGTCAATTTCCCTGTAACTCTCGGGAGATGGCGCCTGAATTTTTTTTACTGCCTAGGTTCGACTAGGTACACACAAATGCGTAAACCCTTTCTAGAATTAATTATTTTATTTGGTAGGCTGTGAATTTCATCATATATAAAAAATTTAACTATAAGGGTGACATGACTTGTAAATGCGACACGTTTCTTTGTGATGGGGTAATGATTTCAATTGGAGCCAAGAATAGAGTAATAACTCCTTAATATTTGAGTTGATTTGGATTATGGAGCGCCAGGGAGTTCAGAGTAATAACTCAGTATTTGAGCTGATTTGGCTATTGTAGTAGGCTTCATTCTATCATAATTTTCTTGGCCGTGAAAACTGATGGAAGAATGCTACCAGCATAGTCAAGAACGTGTAAAGTTTGATGTGCTGTTATACCCCTTTTTTTGCGGGGGACTGTTATACCCCTTCTTTACTCTGCATGATAATAGCTGGCAAAGAACTGATGCCCCTTATGAAAAGTTGTGTCTTCTTTGCTTGTGTCCAATGGAACCATAGTTCTTTTTTTCCTAAATAAGCTTATGGGATACATCACCATCTTGATTTTGACATTGTCTCAGTGCAAGCTTTATTGACATTTACCAAAGCACTGTGACCATGCAATAGGTTTGAAATTGCTATTGTCAATGTTTCATTTATCAGTTTATGATATATTTACTTGCTGAAAATGCACTGCAGCTGTTACACCATCAACAAAAGATGCCCATGGTGTACTTGTAGAACGTGATCCAAGTTATGATGACATGCTTAAGCACATGGTTGGGAGAATCACTACTAAGCCTGGAGGAAAGCCAGAAATGGGTGAAGTGAGTCGTGTGATTTTTACATTGTTCTCCCTGGGCTAAAGTACCATAGTATCCTTGATGATTTTATTGCATTGCACTGCATATAAACCTATAAAGAACTGAACTTGAATAATCATTCTATTGAGTCTGAACTTTCTTTAGTTTTTGGGGAAAAGTAACCAGAGGCTTGTGCTTGCAGGCTTCCGTCGTAGAGCGATACAACAGGCCGCTTCCTAAGGTGAGAACATCCGAAGCCGAACCTGGGCAGAGCAGGCAGCTACCTCCAGGAACCCTGAACGTCGGGCACATCCAGGAGATCATCCTGCTGTACCAAGGAAAGTCCAGTAGCCACCGCGGCCCGATGAGCGTGGACCAGATCGCCTTGAGGTTCAGAGTCGAAGCCTCCGTGGTCCATGGAATCGTGCAGTTTGTCTCGTTGCCGCAGGATGAAGGCATCGAAAAGAAAGACGAACGGCGGGACCTTTGAGCGGATCTGTCAACATGGTGGAGATTGTTCATGCTCCCAAAATGAGTTGCGTAGAGGACAACTGGACAGACAAGTTTCTTGATAGTGTTTTCGTAGGTTTCTTTTCTTTCTTGTTGTTGTTGCTGCTGCTGAGCTGAAAGCCTGAGATGATGATGGAAACTGGAAACCGTACATTGCCGTGTTGCCTAAATAAAGATGAGCGTCTTTTTTTTATTTGCTTTTTTCGTGTTATGGGTCAGTTGTGACGTGGCAAATCGACGTGTCCTACATGTAAAAATAAATCATGCACAGAGATTGTAGTTAGAAAAATATTTGTTGTTCAGTTTACAAATTTGTCTTTAAAAAGAGATATATCAGAAGAAAACAAATATTGTTGGCAAGAAATTGTGAGCTTCACTGCACGGTGCACGCATTTGAAGTGACCCACCAGATGTGGAGGAAGCTTCCGTCGCAATCAAACGGTCCCTGCGAGCTGCGACCCCGATCTTTGATCCATCTGCACCGATCACGAGGCACGCCGCTCCCCCTCGTCATCTCCCATTGCGCGGGTCGCCGGAGGGGGAAAGCAGCGGCCAGCGGTCCTCTTCCCACTCTCCGCCTCTCCCCCCGCTAGATCTCGAGGCTTCTAGAAGCTTCTGCCGACGTTAGTGTGCTGTCCAGATCTCGAACCTTCTAGAAGCCTCCACGGGCCGCGGCCCTCCCCGCCTCCTCCAGATCCCGGAGGACGCGAGCGGGGGATCCACGGGACCTTCGACTTGGAGCACCTGCTGCCAGGGATGCCGGTGAGTTGCTCGCAATTGTATCACTACTAGTACATGGGCTCAGTGAATGGCTGTGGCTTCGCTCGGCTGCGTGCTAACTCGTGATCCCAACTTTTGGCGGCGTGGCGTCTCTCTCCTGCTTAGTGATGCCACTTAGTGAGCGCTTGTGCTAATCTTCTTCGAGTAAATTGATCATGGCTGATTTGTAATGTCTCAACCATGTTTTTCCTTCTCATCTTGCCAGAGCATACAAGAACCACTGCATTTTAAACCTCAAGAGCCTAAAGTAGTCGTGGCGGAGAACGAGAACGACAAGATGGTTGATGTTCAGGACAAGGAGGTCACCATGGAAGGCCTCTGCTCTGTGGCCGCTTACGATCAGTGGACGCCTCTCTCAGTCCCAGGACAGCGCCCGAAACCTCGATACAAGGTCTTTATTTGTGTTTATTTCATTTAATTATTGTTATACCCTCTGATCTTGTGCTGGGCAATTTTCACTTGATGGTTCTCACATGCTGGCTCCAATTATCTTCTGCAGCACGGAGCTGCCGTAGTTCAGGAAAAAATGTATGTCTTTGGTGGAAACCACAATGGCCGTTACCTTGGTGACATTCAGGTACACTAGTCATTATGATTCTCTGTGGAAGGGGCTGCTTGTGCCTTCAGTTATGTTACCTGTATTTTTTGTCATTGAATTTCTATGGAGGAACTGTTACTCCTTTAGTTGAGCCCTAGATTTCCATAGATAGTTGCCTCGGGGGTTAACCCCTGGTCCTATATTTCTGACGATGGCACGCAGCTTAACAATGGAATGCTTCTTTCATTGAAGGTTCTGGATTTCAAAAGTTTGTCATGGTCAAAGCTAGAAGCTAAAGTTCAATCAGAATCAGCTGAACCAGCTTCTGTTGCTCCATGTGCTGGTCATTCACTGGTAATCATCAAGTACTCTTTCTAGTTATCAGTGATGTGAAACTGCTATTACATTCCAATGGTTGTAATTATAACGTTATCAGATTGTGTCTGTCTTCTAATCCCTGTAGATTCCATCCGGAAACAAGATTCTCTCACTTGCAGGACACACCAGGGAGCATACAGAGAGTCTCAGTGGTTAGCCTAATACATCGCTCATTTTTATCTCTTCTTATCTTGTCATGCCAGAACTCAATATTTTTTACTCAATGTTGTACAGTAAAGGAGTTTGATCCGCAAACCTGCACTTGGTCAATTTTGCGTACTTATGGGAAGTCACCGGTATGTATATTTAATCTGTATTTATGCTGTTCTATTGGGTCGCAAGTTTCCACCCCTTTTCCCTGAAGGCTGCTTCTTTTTGGTCAATATGTATCTTATGGTACTTTTCCTTTTTGTTTAGAGCTCACGTGGTGGTCAATCAGTAACTCGTGTTGGGGACACTTTAGTTGTGTTTGGAGGTGAAGGTGGTGGGAGGTCTCTTCTGAATGACCTGCACGTTCTTGATCTTGAAACCATGACTTGGGATGAATTTGAGAGCACGTAAGTTCTGAGGATTTGGTTTGATCGATCTAAACAAAATGGAGCTGAGTTGTTAAAATTGCACAAATGAAGTTAAAAAGTTCTTAGATGGGTATTCTACCATATATATGTGTGTGTGTGTGTGTGTGTGTGTGTGTGTGTGGAGAAATAAAATTCAAAGTTATGTGAAAATGCTATAGCACGTGTCACTTGTAGTTGGCAATTATTATACTTTGTTTAGAGCATGAAATAAAACTTGCAGTAAACGCATTAAGCCGGCTCTGCTTTGAGGTGCAGGATTGATTATCTGACAATTATTTCTTTACAGAGGCACTACTCCTTCTCCAAGGTCAGAGCATGCTGCTGCATGCTATGCGGACTGGTATCTCTTGATATTTGGTGGGGGATCTCATTCTACATGTTTCAGTGATCTATATCTCCTTGACATGCAAACAGTGAGACTTCTCTCTAGAGCTAGTGTTGTACATTTGCAATTCCAAACCAGTCACCTGACCGTTAATTGCAGATGGAATGGTCAAGACCAGAGCAGCACGGTATAATTCCAGAACCAAGAGCAGGGCATGCAGGCGTGACGGTTGGGGATAACTGGGTTATCACTGGTGGTGGTAATAGTAAGAAAGGTAAGGTTGTAATATTATGATTTTTACATTACTGCATCCGTTCGTTGCCGCTATTTGGTAACCTAATGAATGTGTTATCACTCACATGTGCCTAATGCACTGCAGGTGTTCCAGAAACGCTTGTGCTTAACATGTCTACTTTGGTATGGTCGGTTGTTACTAGTTTTGAAGGCCGTGCACCCCCTACAAGTGAGGTTAGCCATTTTTGTTCTTATTTTGCAATTTGTAAAGCAATGTGAACTTTAATTTTACATAACAATGTATATGTTCCGCACAGTTACTTGGAAACTCTCTGTAAGAGTTTGGATAAATGGAGAAAGGGTCTTTTGGTTTAGAAGTTCAAATTGAATATTCCAACTAGATTCATGAAAACAATGTTATATGAGTCTAAGCCTTTAAGGATCTCATAATAGTGAAGTTCACACGGTCATGCTGCTAACTGTCTTTTTAATATTGGTTAATTGTGATTCTATGGTGTTATGCACCCAAGCTGTCGCTGATCTCAATAATCTCCTTCACCACAGGGATCGAGCTTAGTACTTCACACAATTAATGGAGAAGATTTTCTGTTGTCATTTGGAGGATACAGTGGACGTTACAGCAACGAGGCATTTTTTCTCCGTCATCAGTTTAATTGTTCTGATTTATACCTTTTTATTTAGCTGGGTAATTTTTTTTATCTAGGTTTATGCTCTGAAGACAAGTCTCAGACCAAGTGTGTCATCTTCACGAATAGATGAACTGGAGACAAATGGCATGACCCCATTATCTGCAGAAGTAAATTCTAGCAGGGAACCTATATTCGAAATTGAAGAACTTCGAGATGACAAGGTAATATCTTAAGCGTGTGGTTGCTTGTTGGAACCACGGTTAACGCTTTTTCTCTCTGTCATTTTCAGAATAAGAAGGGAGGAGATATCAGCAAAACCTTGGTGCAAGCAGTAAAGCGTGAGAAGAACCAGGTAGAAGAAAGACTTGAACAGGAAAAGCTGCAGAGCTTCAACCTGAAGAAGGAACTAGCTGATGTGGAGAACAAAAATGCGGAGCTTACTAAGGTAAGATATACCACACTCGCGTAATTATTTCAGGAAATTCCATAACTTCGCCTACTGCAGTACTACTTGTGTGCTGAAGTTATCTGTAATATAATCTCCATACAGATTACTCGGAGTTATTTTTTATGATTTCTTATTCAAATATTTAAGGCCCTGAGCTTCAGAAAATCAAACTCAAATCACTACATCTCAATGGAATTATAGGTTATCATTGTAGCAGCATTATTTTTCATATGTTTATGCTTGAATTGGAGTCTCAAAGGTGAAGCCTCAGTGTATCAAACCTCGCAGTATATAGCAAGGTGGAAATGCAGCGTCGATTTGTGTGTTAGGAATATGTTCTCTTATTTGCAAGATGAAATTTTTCCTAAGCTCAATGTGATCAAGTTTTTATGTGCTGTCTGCTGTGCAGGAACTCCAGTCGGTCCGTGATCAACTCTCAGACGAAGCAGCGAGGGCTTCCAAACTCGAGGTACATAAAGGTTCTTCAGGACAGGGTCAGAAACCATGCTCTAGGTTTTGATGAGTTGGTCGAATAGGAATATAGAGTACTCCGTGGCCCTTTTTCACATTGATCTCTTGGGGTTGGAATGATGATGACACGAGTTTTCCCTTTGCTGAATTGGCAGGATGAAGTTTCAGAGATTCAACAACGGCTGCAGAAAATGGAAACCCTTGAAAAGGAGTTCGAATTGCTTCGGAGTGAAAGGGGTGGCGGGTCTGACGAATCAGGTTCAGGCAGCAACAAGAGGCCCAGCAGCGTGGGCTTCCGGAGGTGGTATGGAGATGACGAGCGCTGAAGCGGGGACTCTTCTCTAGGATCGCATTCTTTCGTTTTTGGTCGGTTTCTGATCATATATATTTTTCGGTTAATCCAGTACTGAGGCTTATATGAAAAGCTTGAAAATCATTTTGTAAAGGAAAAGACTGAAAGTATTTTTTTTACCAAGATCAAATGCCAGAGCCTCAGAAACTTGAAAGTGTTACATTCTGTGGAGTATATTTTTTCTGAGTTATATTTCCCAGCGTTGTTCTGATTGTGTTTGAACATGGCATCACAAAAAAATATTGGCAACTTAGGGTATTGCCCTGCAGATTTTTCAAACTCGTATTTTGGTAGTACTGACATAACCATAATACAGAAGGAAGCTTGTAGAGACAGTGCTATGATCATTTGAGGAGGCTGTGTTTCAGCCAGAAAACATGTGTATGTTCCCTAATTCCAATAAATAGAAATCTTTGCAGTGATCGAGCAAGCTTGAAAACAAACATATCACATGCTGATTTTGCAAAAACAGTGGCCGCCATACAGGATTGAGCGACCAGGTTCACATTAATAGTTACAACTAAATCCTGAAACTCCATATGTTGCTCCTGGAATTCAATAAAATCCACAGAGAAAGGGTATGAACTTCCCACCCAATGCTCAGCCAAACATGTTGGGAAGAGGCCTCACAGCCATGAAGGCGTCGACCATCTGTGTAAACAGGACATCGTTAAATTGGCAGAAGACATATGTGTGAATCTATTTTTTATCAGTGTTTGCACAGTGCAGCTACGCGCCTCCTGTTATGTACAAGACCAAATGAATGTGATAACATATGATATTGCATACCTCCTCGGTGACTCGAGCTCTAGCTCTTTTGTGCCTTTCAACCATCTCAGAAAGAACCGTAACCAGAAGCTGCTTCACTTCACCCGTCAGCATCCTTCCTTCCTTGTACGCCTGATATTGAGTTTCACAACATTAGCACGACCCAATTGGAAACTAAGTAGCTATAAAGTGTAGTTCTAATATCTTGCAATATTACCTTCTTTATGCGCTCGAGCTCATCATCGTCTTCAAGGAAGAAGTTCAGGTATTTAATTGAGACATCAACCTGAATACAACAATTAAAATTTACCAATTGGTTTTGTCTTGTGCAAGGAGCACATCACATTAGAGAAATATTGCAGGATGCAATGCTCCACAATTTACAATTAAATACAATGTTGTCAGCTTCAATAAATGACGAAACTACAAACAAAGGGCATGTTGCTAAATTCATATTTTATGAAACTGGTAATTTTACTTGATATACTGAAATTATTACTTATTCTAATTTAAGTTTTGCCTTTTAAGTAAAAAAAATGCATGATAGAATGATGCATAGGACATGTAATCAAGCCGCCAAAAAAGCTTGTTTACCTGTGCCAATTTATTGTTAGTATGTGTCAAAACAACAGGAAAACGGTGTACCTCAAGGTTAGCTCCAAGTTTTCTGTGAAGTTCTACAGAGTCCTGGCCACCTGAGAATGCATATTTATTCACCTGGAAAATGATGGGGAAGTAAATAGAAGTACAAAACAAAGACCTACAGGCTACAAATTCCATGCTCAGCTCAATCTAGCAACCACTTCAGAGCATCTACAAACGGACCACTCATATCCTCCCCAAGCGTCCTGGCCACTGCCCGGACAGGAGAAGGAAAAAAAAGCCACCCAACCGGACCGCCCACTTTGTCCTCATATGCTCGGGCACAAATCCCCATATCCAAGCCATATACAGGGATGTCCGGTCGTGTCAGGGCAGGGCGCCATGTAGGATTTCGCCACCGCGGACCACCTTTTCTCTTTCTTTATTCTTTCTTTCTCTCCACCAATCATATACATGTGACCGGACATATAGGGGGAAAATGAGAGGCATGGTTGTGTGCATGGACAAATAGGGACTAAAAGCGGACATGCCCAGGCGCGGTCGCGGATGTTTGAGGAGCCAGACTTGTGCATCATGGTTGTAGATGCTCTCAAACAAACAAGGATCAACTTAAAACATGTAACTGTTCGGAAATAATTTTTCTGATACAAGAAACGATGTTGAGTACATACCTTTGTCTTTATATCTTTAGTACTATCGGTCACATATATAGCAGAATTTGGATCACTAGCTGACATTTTCGTGTTCTCCCCCTGTAAGATATATAAGTAGCCCCAAAGCAATGATATTAAAGTTAGTGCCATCCATAACAGGATGTAGCAAATAAATGTAAAACAAATGGCACACGGGCTCCATAAACGAAGTTATAGTGTTGTTAAGTTCAAAACAGCGATGGAGAAATAGCAAGTTCAAGAATTGACTGGAAGCAGTCAAACTGGAACTGTGTTTCTCATAATCGGACTGGTATTGCGACTTCACTAGACAAAAAAAAAATTCTTATGTTTGCACTCGTTAACGCAATTCTAAATATGGCACATTCGTAATTCTACAAATTATGGTACTTAGGAACAAGCTTTCCACAAAAAATTATGCTATTATTACCAATAATTGAAATATTTCCATAGTTAAAAAAGGCGCGCCTAAGCGAGTGCTTAAGCGCGCCTAGGCTCTAGGCGTTGGCAAAACGCATTGCGCATAACTACGCTTAATCTGTGCATAATTGCGCATAAGCATGCGCTTTGCTCAGTAAAGCGCAAGGCGGTGGCAAAACACACAATTAACGCCTAGCGCTTTTTTGAACTATGAATATTTCACATGTAACCATGTAAGCAACCATTTCACTGTAAATCCTAATTGTCGGGCATTAAATGACTGATTTTAGATAATAAACGTCCTGGGCATCAGGTCTACCTTGTCCATATATGTACTTTTTTTTTTTGCCATGTTGAACTTCTATGCAGTGAAGCATAAAGTTTTAAACCATGTTCCTCAGAAAACAAATTTACCTGAAGAGCAGGGAAAAATCTTGACTCAATCAGTGCTGGCTTCTGGTAACCAATTCTTGGAGCAACATCACGGGTCATCCTGAAATAAGGATCCTGGAAGAATGAAAAATGAATTGAATGAGGAACTCAAGATATGAAACAAACCATGAACATCTACCAACAGTTCAGTATTTTTAATGAAATTACTCAGAGATAGCCTCTTAAAATTTCACATATGGATAAGCATATCTATAGTATGCACACAATAGAAGGATACTATTAGTTCAATTCTGGAAAGCACGAAAATTTTGCAGAATGTTACTTCTAAAATTAGTTGCTAGCAGATATATGATAATTTCTAGTTATGCCAGCAAGTAAATATTATGCAACAAATTATGTTTACAGGACAATTGTACCAAAAATATGTTTTTACCTGGTCTATTGCGCAAGGTATCAGGCACCGTAGTTGGTCATTGCCAGAAAAGTGTTTGGGAAATGAAGAAGGGAATGATGGAACTGCTTGCACAGGAGGAAAGCTAATCTTTCCAATGTGATCCTCTGGAGTGAATCCAAATATTCCCACAACCTGTCATTCAAGAGCGGACTATATTAGCCAACGTTAATGCTTGAACAGAAACTACTGAGCTCTCTCATGCCAAATAGACAAATAGTGTAATCAATGGAACAGCTCTCACTTTATTATATGTCACACATCTGGCCACTTTAACCATGTTTTCGTAAAAGGCACTGCAAGAAAGAGAAGAGGATTACTTTACTATTTTTATATAGAAACTAGTCTAGGATTTACGAGGTCATAAGATAAAAGATCAATCAAGGGTAGAATTTAAAATATTAATCTTACCCGCCAACAAAATTAAAATCAGAGAATATAAAAGTCCTTTCAACATCAAATCCGCATGCTATAATGTCTTTTGCATTTTCACGCGCAAGCCTTTTACTTTCCTCTACAGTCAAATTTTTCCACAGGAACTTCTCATCATCAGTTAGCTGTATCACTAGAGGAACCTTGAAAGCATCCTGCAAATATCTGAAGAAAGATCCTTATGGTCAATGAGCATTGCCAATGGTTACTTACCCAACCAGAACTGACAACTGAGATTACAATGCAAGATTTATCAAATAATACCTAGAGGGTATAGAGCATAAATAAGATTATGAAATGCAGCATATTAACGTGCTAGAGTTTATGTGAAGGATAGGAGGTAAATACTTAGCTTGCAAAACGATCTTATATTATGGGACTGAGGGAGTATTAAACATGCTAATTGGCGATGTATAACTCCCGAATTTCAAGGGTGGTATTCATCTAAAGGTTTTCTGCAAGTCCACTGTTGGTATTTTGATTCACCACATAAACTAGGAGTACAGAGAAGATATCAATTTCACTAGTCTACCGAACTGATGTTCTCAAACCAATGGAGACACAATGGGCTGTTCGTTCTAGCCAAGAATGCACGCTACTCCCCTGCTGCTCGGCAGGGTTGCCCAGATAAACAACACAGTGTATCAACAAAGTCTTCTTACTTGGTGAACATGAAGGGGACGAGGTGTCCGAGATGCAACGCCTCTGAGGAGGGCCCTCTCCCCGTGTAGAGGTAGAACTTGTCCCCCTTCTCGTAGATGTCCAGTATCTCGTTCAAATCCCTGCACATCCACACACAAAAAGGTTCCGAGATTGTGTCAGCAATTCCACCCCCGCCGCCGCCTGAGAAGGCAAAAGCTTTTACAGCACCTGTGGGCGAAGAAGAGGCCGCGGCGGAGGAAGCGGTGCGGGGGGCGGCCGGTGAGGCGCGCGATGCGGTCGATGAGCGGGGCGTCCAGGCGCTGGCAGCCGAACTGGTCGACCAGCTTGTCGTAGTCGATGCCGCCCTTCCCCGCCGACACCTCCCACGGGTTCACCACCTGCTCCTCCTCCTCCTTCTTCTCAACCTCCGGCGCCACCGAGGCCATAGCTAGTAATCCTTCTCTGCCCTGCTCGTCGCCGGAGATGGGAGGTGGCGGCAGCTGGAGGGGGAGGTGAAGCTACCAAGCACTTGTTACTAGCAAAATCTGGCCGCCGCTGGCGGCTAGGGTTGAGGGGGATCGACGAGGGGTTTGGACGAGTCGCGGCCAGGAGAGATGACGCGCGAGCGAATCGGTACGTGGGCCCTCGGATTCTGCTCGTGCTGGACCCAGACGTCAGTATTCTAAACGTTCACGTTGCAGAGCTCGTCGAAAACGAATCTTCACCTTCAAATCCATGAAGTCTATATTCTATCCTTGTTAATCCCGATCAATCTCAACCGTAGACATGTTTGGCACATAGGAAAACGATCCATCCCTGCCTCACATGTCATTTTCATTTTCATCGTGGTCCTTTGTGTGTGCGCTTTCCCTATTTGGGGCACATGGTGGTGGAGAGTCCATAGGAGGGCCGACGGCGGCGCTGCTCCCTGAGCGGGGCAGTATGACCATTCCTTCCCTTTGGCGAGATGGCAGTGGCGAGCTCGGCGACGACGAGCAGAGATTTAGCAGCTCTACCTTGCATAGATACAGACCTCGGCGGCAACGACCGATGGTGTTGGGTCAGCTGGAGATCATGTGCATGGCTCTGACTTAGACGATAATGTCAGCAGAGGATTCACGATGGTGATGACGTCGACTCCTGAGACGAGCGATGCAGCTCAAACCACTTCCCGCCAAGCTCGGCTCACCATCTTTTGTAGTGAATGGCGCAAGAAGAGGTCGTAAATTGATGTACCAATACCATCCTAACAAGCGCTGGATAGTAGAATCCGGGGTGTTGATCTGTTGCTGCTCTCCAACAGACTCTATTTCCTGCCATGGTGACGATGATCTTGGGGGCGCACATCGGTAGGGAATGAGACAGCCCAGACGTGTGAGCGTAAAAGAAAAGACACTTAGCAGCCACAACTCGATTTCTATTTTCTATCGGCCACCGTCGCAGCTTTATAACACCCACACACAGGAGAGTGCCAAGCAGAGCACCTCTTTGCATCTACGCACGCATGGCTGTGGACAGCAAGCTGTAGAGCCAGCTGCAACCGTTGACGCCGGCAGCGCATCGGCGATGAGGGGCATGGGAGGCGAGTAGTGAGCAGCCGGAGAGCATCCCGAACAACGAGTTGGTGTCGCGGGCATGCGGGCAGGAGTTCCTGGCGCTGACGCAGGTAGCATGCTCGCCGCCATGGCGCCCCATGAATTGAAGAAGTGAGAAGCGGGTTACACAAGAAAGATAGAGATAACAGGAGGAGGAAGATGAATATGACGTGCGGGCCGTGCAATCGGTGAGAGTAGAGATTTATCCCAACTGGGATAGTCCTTCTCCCGATGCATTAAACATGAACTGACATGCATAGAATCAGAATTACCGGGATACCAATTTCAGGCATTTGGATGTCGAGGCTCAATTTCAAAGGGTTGTATCAATTCACGGTTTTTTAGACTTCACCCGGCCCAACATTATATAACCGGACCCGAACAGAAGCATTCTTTTTTTTTGCATCGAATTTAGGACTTCATTCAACTTAACAATAACCGATTACAGTCTGCTCGAAGGCAACTAAGAAGAAAATCAGGGCTATGGTCTAGCCAGCTCTCCGTTACATCTAGAGCACAAGCATGTTGCGCGCATAGATGAGCCAGAGCATTGAGTTCCCTACTAACATGCCAAACCAAGAAAGAAACAAAGTGAGTTACAATGTCCTCCAATTCTCTCAGGATAGGCTCCGCAACTGAGCGAGTATTGTCGGGCGAGTGCCAGAGAGTGACTAGCTCCAAACTATCACCCTCCATCATCAGATGTGAATATCCCCGAAGCTAGGCGAAGATCACCCCCTCCCTTAACGCCAATAGCTCGGCTATGAACGGATCTGATACTCCTGGCAGTGGCTTACACCAGGCGCCCAACAGCGCAAGGTGCAATCGCGCTACCCCTCCTGCTCCCCCAGTAGGGGCATCAGGGAATACTGATCCATCGATGTTGATCTTGATCCAGCCCGCCTCTGGTGGTCGCCATGTTGGCCCAGCTATCGAACTCCTACGCCGCTCCGGTAGCTCCAAGATAGAGAGAGCTTCATGAATCCACTTCATGGCCATTGGTGGATCATATCCTTCCTGATCATGAGTCCATATGTTGCATGAGGACCAAATGGCATGCATGATAGTAATGATTTTGCATCTGGCATCCTCTGTGAACAACTGATCCAGTAGTATGTCACGCGCCCAAGTGTCCGGACGCAGGCTCGGCAGGTGTATATCAAACCGATCACGAGTTGCTGCCCAAAAAGATTTGGCATGCGTACATGAGATGAGCGCATGCATTAACGTCTCATCCATCGCCTTGCAGATATCACACCGTCCAATTTGCTTTATGTGTTTGTGCTTCAAAGTCATAGAGTCAGGAAGGATGCTGCGAAGAACCCTCCACCAGAACACTCGAACCTTCGGCACCACATGAAGCTTCCATAGTGCGGTCCATAACTGTTTGTTTGAAGATGAAGCATCCGTAATCGTCCCTTCCCCTAGAGTGTGAAGCTTGTTCCGGGTCACTAGAGAGCGATACGCTGATTTAACAGTATAATTTCCTGACTTCTCAAAAGCCCACACCAAGGAGTCTTCTCCTCCTCCCAAATGCAAGTGTATATTCAATATTGCTTCGGCATCCGGATGAAGGAAGTTTTGGCGGACTAGCTCTATATTCCAACCGCCCGTGTAAGCGTCAATCAAGTCTGAAACCATGTCAAGGGGCGCACTGCCCAGGCGGGCCATTGGTTTCAGAGATACCGTATTTGGAATCCACTGGTCATTCCAGATAGAGATCGACGAACCATCCCCTACTCTGTGAATCATCCCAGTGTGCAACGCTTCCCGCCCATCCATGATTGCTCGCCAAATGCTTGATGCTCGGGCTGGTACTGTGGCGTGCAGAAAATCTGTATTCGGGTAGTACTTACCCTTGAGTACACGAGCACATAGGGAATTAGGGTGCGTCAGGAGGCGCCAACCCTGTTTACCCAACATGGAGAGGTTGAAGAGGTGGGGATCTCAGAAGCCCGTCCCCCCTTTAATCTTTGGCTCAGTTAACTTCTTCCACGATAGCCAATGCATTGACTTCTTATCAATAGAACTACTCCACCAATACTTTTCCATTGGTGAACTCAAGCTTTTGCAAACCTTCTTTGTCAACAAAAAGCAGCTCATACTGTAATGTAACGCCCCGGATCCGATGCGCCAGGTGTCATTCAGTTATTCGCCGTCGTTGCCATGTCATTTGCTTGCGTGTTGCATTTTATCATGTCATCATGTGCATTTCATTTTGCATACGTGTTCGTCTCATGCATCCGAGCATTTTCCCCGTTGTCCGTTTCGCGATCCGACACTCCTATGCCCTCCGGCGTTCCCCTTTTATCTCTCGTTGTGAGTGGGTGTTAAACATTCTCGGAATGAACCGAGTCTTGCCAAGTGGCCTTGGTATAGCACCGGTAGACCGCCTGTCAAGTTTCGTGCAATTTGGAGGTCGTTTGGTACTCCAACGGTTAACCGGGTAACCGTAAAGCCCCTCTCTCTTTGCAGCCCAACACCCCTTCCAAAGTGGCCCAAAACCCATCTAACTCCCCTCCATGCTCTCGGTCGTTCGATCACGATCGTGTGGGCGAAAACCGTGCTCCATTTGGACTCTCCTAGCTCCCTCTATCTATAAATATGCCCTTCCCCCGAAATTCACGGATCGAATCGCAGACGAAACCCTAGCCCCGCTCCCCTCGCGCGCCGGACATGTCCAACCCCGCCGGACATGTCCAGCCTCCACGTCGTCCCGGCCAATCCGGTGCCGCCACGTCACCCCGCCGCCGCTCTCCTCCAACCGCGCGCCGCCACCTCACCCTCTCTCTCCTC